ACGAATTGCTGCGCCTGAGATTTCTTTTCTACCAGTGGCTTTGGGTGTAACAATAGTGACACGATATATCAATGCATCACCGGGTATGCATCACCGGAATACTAGATACACTAGACATATATATTCTACGCGTTTATGAATAGAAATTCAACAACTGTAATACCTTAATAACATTGTCCACCTGATGAACGAGTAAGGATATACACCGAAACGTTGTGTTCCTCATAATATAGAAGTTGACATCCATAAAATCTCTCTTTCTTATGTGCATCACTTCTAAATGCCATTCAAAGACTTGTTTACGTGTTTATTAGGATTGAATTATGAATACAAACGAACATAAGACATACGCTATAACATAAAACCAGGATATCGACGTTAATCATTCACCTTTTTGTAACACTGAACGACTTGGAATTATCACAAATTCAACCCTTCATGTTTTCATACATTAAGGCATCAATACTTTAGTAACAGAGGAATTATTTTATCACAATAATCTCCAACCATTTTGAGTTTTAACCAAATATTTCTTTCTTCAATTGGTTACAAAACTATAATGGACATGTATATATACGGCATAAGTGTGATTACTGTCCTTTTCTCGGAAGAGACCATCTATCATGTCACCTGAAACGTCATCCTTCTTAATAATAATACAAAAATTATTATGATTTAACAGTACAAGCGTTTGAATACAATTCCGATATAATTTCCCCCGTACAGTAACAATCTAGTCAAGTGAAATCAGAGTTGGCTATGTGTTTTTGTATGACCTGCAAGCATTCACATAAGCCCGACATGAATCTGAATCTATTTAGCAAGACAAACATCACGTCAACACGCGTTAGGCAATATCCTTAATAAAGCCATGAGACTCAAAACACCAACACACAAAACAGACGCAGGTTCCTCAGAAGCAACCCGTAGTTATGTGTTTATATATATGCGAGATCACAACAGGATTACTCTCAACACAAGGTATGGGGCACTCTATATACAAATGCTCAATGGCGACAGTCAGACACTGGCCAATTGTTACCTCCAAAGATCACTACTTCTATCGCCACTGCTCCATGAAAGACGAATTCATTTATGGCTTAACATTCACCACAAGCTTTCTCTGAAGGCCAGGGCGTCAATCTCGGGATGTATACTGCTATGACACTCTGAGCCTGTAAGTAAGACACTATAAAGGCGAGAAGTTCTTCTTTTTCATGACTATGAGGTCGCAGGGTGAAGGTGTATGACACTTAAACATTCGGTGAAAGGAATCATTTTATAAGCGCTACAGGTGTACGACTCTACAATGGGGGATATTTGAATGATAATTATGAAGATTAACATAAGTCGGATTTTACCCCTAGTTCTGCTCCAAATTGCAGGTGAGTCATCAGTAAACTGTTCTTTTAAGGGATAACATAATGGATTAAAAATTATAAGAAGCAAAAAATATCAAAATGAGATGAACATTCAAACAGAGTAACGAGTTTCTTGCATTTTTGTGAGAAAGATACGGAAAGCGTCTTTGGGACCATGATGGGATTAATTCTCATACTGAATGAATAACTCATTTTATAAAGATAGATAGTACATGATTACAGCACAGTTCAATATTTTGTAAGCATATGGGTAATATATACTACCTGTCAAACGCGTATTAACTTGAAAATTGGATTTGACAAAAACATTACAAACTCTATCATAAAAGTGTCCAAAACACTGCAAACATGGTCCAATTCTCATCTGATATACTTGTATCAGACACATCACAGTCCAGCAACGATTTTTTGTTTGTTTTATTTTCAATCATCTTCAGACTTGTATGTGAGCTTTTAGTGCCTCGAGTTCTTATCTTAAAAAGGTAGAGAACACGGTATTTATCAGCATGTATCTACTATAAGTGCAGGCTACATGTTTCTGTACTCTAGGAACACAGAGCCTCTGTGAGTTTCCCAATTCCTTCCAAGGGACGTACATGCTGTCCAAATACAACTCAGTTGTCAACGTGAACGTGTCGCACATCGACGGACTGGGACTTATCAATGCACCACTGCTGGAGGGAGATATTGGCAAAGAGTATGAGTGTTTTGCAAACAATGGATCCAAATATGTTATCAGGTACGAAAGACCATGAACTTAATTATATACAATGAATTGTTTAGTTTCTTGGCGAATTTTCGAAACACAACGTCCAAACAATGTAATTTCGAAGAATACCACGAGATCAAAACCTCCGTATGTTTGTTTGTTGTTTAACGCCGCAATTAGCAATATTCCAGTTATATGGCGGTGGTCTGTAAATAATCGAGGCCGGACCAGACAATCCGGCATGATCTTCACCATCAGCACGTGCGTACTAATGACATCGTTAACTTCTTATTTATGCTTTCGGATTGGTTTTTCAATACCGAAAACAAAACGAATTCTTATCTCAAAATCTAGGTGTCATTCACCTAATCTGTGCACTTTTTGAATAACACATATTGCTTTTCTTGAATATATCTGAGTAATTCAAATATATCTAAGTAATTCAAATATAAACGTCCACAAGTTGCTACATAAGATCAGCATAAGATGACATAAGATCAACGAAAGTTACTTTTCCACTGTCATGGTTTTATTAAAGAAATATACCGTATTAAGAAATGAATTCTAAAAACTACAAAATATAATGCAGTCCTCGATGACAACTAAAAACCTGTCCTAAAAAAGGCTACAAGAATATATTTATGTTTGTGAAAATCTTTTGTGATGGGCATGGTGCTATGTATCATTTAGAGTGTATTGAAATACCAGTTACAACCACGGCAGCTCTTAAGAACTGTGACCTTGTCTTAATTGTTGTTCAATACAAGTTTGTGAAGGTCATGCTTTTAATTGTCATTTAGTGTGTATCAGCAAAATAATGGATTCAAGAAAAAATATAAGCTTTCTCCACATCACGGCACGGCATGAACTTGTTTGTGGACGCGTCTTGATGAAGGTGGGTGTTTGCAGGTCCGTCCTGGGAGACAAGCTGCCCAGTGAGGCGGAGTTCCGCTACATCTTCCTGTGTATGGACCTGACTATAGTGTCTGACATCAAGGCGACCTTTGTCCAAGCTACAGACACAGGTGGGAGCTGCACCTACTGCTGTATCTCGTTCAGTGCCTTGGGTCTTTATATAAACATTCATTCTGAAAGGTTGATGAGACATAAACACAAACTGTGTTCGTTCATTTCCTTGAGGGGCTGACACACAAATATGTCATAATCATTTGTCATATATATTTATCACAGAACATGGATACTAGGTGACCTGCTTTCATCATTTCTCCTTTTCTATATAAATTATGTTTAATGATAACAAGTTTCTTTGAAAACAGAGGTCAAACTATGAACATTGGTATTCACATGCTATCTATTTGAAAGTTGCTTATATGTAACACAACAGTCGTAGACCGTGTTTCATCATCGTCTCCTGTTACATACACCGCAGGCCCCGGATCTAGACCGAATGACGTCAAGTTCCTCAAGCTGTCGGAAGTGGGCTCGGATCCCTTGTCCAGCATTTGTGACATCCCCGAGTCCTCCTATCTCACCACCATGTACAGTGTCTTCCTCAAAACAAGTCAGTAATAACCCCACCCCTAAGTCGGTAACAACATCTCCTCATCTGTTCATCTGTGTCATCACAACACTCACCTGTTCATAAATTGAAGGAAGAAAGTATACGCCATTGTTTGATGTTGCCGAAAGAAAAGTATTCTTGAATTGGTTTATTCAGTGGTGATGTATTCGGTTAATTGTGTCATTTACCTTATGTTTGTACGGCGGCGATCTGTAAATATTCAAGTCTGGACCAGACAATCCAGTGATCAACAGCATGAGCATCGTTCTACGCGATTGGGATACGATGATGTGTAAACCAAGTCAGGAAGCCTAACCACCCGATCCCGTTAGTCGCCTCTTACGACAATCATGGGTTGCTGAAGACCAATTCTAGCCCGGATGTACTCGGGTTTTCATCCAAATTACTTTGTGATAACGTTTGTGATTCGTTCAATTCCCACATTGTCAGGAATCTACTTTTGGACCACATGAACATACACTTGGCGCTGACATATATCATTGTTTTCTGTTGTTTTTTCATGTCTTTTTTTAGTGATATATAGTCATGCCAATAATGGTTGTCACCCCCCTCCAATTAAAACAATTGAAGGGGGTGACAACCATTGTTGGCATAAGTATACCAATCTGTGTCAATATTCTTTATAACCCTCTCCATGAATCTGACTAAACGTTAATTGTTATCTACTGTGAACCAGGTAGCCAGTCGTCGTGGCCTCAGACGTGCCCCACGGAGCTGCTGGGTGTGTACAGCACCCAGGAACCCTCCTGCCCCGCCTCCTGGGACGCCTGTGTGGACAACTCCTACATCCAGGTGGACAACACCTCCTCCTGCAGCGTCCTGCCTTTGTTCAGTGGTGAGTGGACATCACTCGCCCTCATCAGCATCATGTAGTAGTTAATTGTTGGTTTTACACTGCACTGGAATATTCCAGCCAAATGAGGGAGGTCTGTAAATATTTTGGATCAGACAATTCAATGATTCATGAGCACAATCTACGCTGCAAGATACGGTGGCGTGGATCAACCCACTTACCGAGCCTGGCCGCCCGTGCCCACTCTCATCTAAAAGTTGATGGAGAAAATCATCATCCTCAACTATCTCGATATCAGTTTGACCTCTAAACGATGACATCATGCAAACGTATGCAGTGAGCGGTGAATGTTCGCTTATGCAGCGAGAATAAAATACCCAGCGTTGTTCTTGCAGTAATAGACTTTACGCATAAGGGAATCGAACCCGCCGAACCAATATTACTTACATACAACGCGGAGATAAGCACCCGCCACGTCCTGTTGACTACCAGCTACAGGAGTAATGGCAGATATACTACTCTTTGTGTTCACCAGCTAACGGCAGTGTGATCTGTGTGCATGAAGTTCGCAGTGGCAACATCACCTTCCTCCACGTCTACAATAACGACAACGAAGTCAACGACACAAGCACATTCAGATACACATGTGTAGTAAGTATATTTTGTAAATTCTGGCAAGTAAAAGAACTCTAAAAGTATCTATACTGGTAACGTCTCATTGACCGAAGATATACTTCCAAATGCGTCTGTGTAAAGGGTATTTAAAACAGTCCTTCATTTTGTGTGCATTCTGTAAAGTACGTACCGTCACAGAGTAAAGGCAAATTGTATGAACGTTGTAGTTTGCGTCACCCACAGCTTTTACAGCGTAAACAACTTCACATTTATAGAAAGAAATCTAACTTAATGCCACCTGATATACGATACATTTGTTTTAAGCATTGACAAGAAATGGCTTTCTTTTAGTCAATTCTTCGAAACATGACCCATCATTGAGTGACTGACAAAAATCTGAAGGTTCAAGTTTATACGTAATATAACTGTACAGTGTGACTATTCCGTGAAAGAATCATTCTGAAAATAATCATGTACCGTATTTAAAGGCATCATATTTTTGTGTATGCTGGAAACCAAATTCTGAACATGGGTCGGTCGGTCGGGAAAAAAAACTTAATCAAGACAAAATTGTCTTAAAATAAATTATCTGAAATAAATTTAGGGCCGGTCGGGCGATGAGAAACACAGAAAATTAAAAATGCTGCCCTAATGTAGTTTCCACCATTGTTAGATTTTTTGCTTGTCATCGATCTAACTTCATGTTTATAATCTTTAATCATCTCTCGATGCAAAGGCGGGCGTGCAAGGCGACAACATTCGCTGTGTAGAGTTGTCTCCCTTAAACATATCACCATAATTTCGAACCCCGGTTCGAGCTGATTATGTTTTTAGGCTTTCAACAGCATGGCTGTTTTTCTGGGTCTCACTTTGGGTTTTCATTCACACCAGTCTGACTTAATATAACTAATATACTGTTAAAAGCGGCCTGAAACGGAACTTACTCTCGGTCGTAAGACAACTGTACATTATCGATTGCCCGTAAACATATTACACATTAATCATACACTATGTATATGAGTTATCCATTTCATGTTTAAAGGGGGCGGTGGGGTAGCCTAGTGGTTAAAGCGTTGGCTTGTCACGCCGAAAACCCGGGTTCGAATCCCCACATGGGTACAATGTGTGAAGCCCATTTCTGGTGTCCCCCGCCGTGATGTTGCTGGAATATTGCTAAAAGCGGCATAAAACCATACTCAGTCAGTCAGTCAGTCAGTCATGTTTACAGGCTCTACAAAAGGATGGTGACAGTGTACAACTGTCCCAGAATCCGGGGGGACTGTGTGGCCAATCAGAGACCTGACACCGCTACTACCTTGGGGAAAACTACCTTCACCTTGACCCAGCCAGACCCAACCAGTACGTGGCACAACAAGCAGTGTAGTTTCTCAAGTTCTAGACATGATTCCATGAATACAACAAAACACTTTCCATAATCATAATTTGAAGATAACTTTACTAAAAGCAGCGTCCATTGTAAGATTACGACTGTATCATCAGAAAATATTCATTAGTCACTGTCAAATAGTGATGAGCCCAGGTGTTCACGAAAAGGGGAACGAGTCATTCTTCTGGCATGATATGTTCACAAAGGAAATCGAGAATTTAAAAAATAAATTAAGTGGAAGCTGCGATGGCTGAGTGGGTTAGATGGCTGACAGTGTGCGCTGGTGTGCTCAACCCAACAAGTACTAGAATCTGTACTTTACTTAGGAAGTGTAATCCTAAATATAACATATGTTAAATATATGTTTAACTTATATCTTGTATATTTTCATTAATACATGTGCTTTTACAACATTCCATTAATTGATAATTAACGCAAACTTAGTATCGACATTTTTCCTATTTTTCAGAATTATGCCGTGAGTATATCTATCATTTGAACTTTACTTTATATAAAAACAACAAAAACAACGCTTCCCGAGGACACGACGTCGACGGTTGCAGTCTAAGAGAGGTAACTCTGTCGTGCCTCTGTTGCACTGACAACACTCATTGATATACTCGAATGCTCCTGCTGGATGGCTTGTGTGCTGCTATTGGCAACCGGACTGTAACGCTTCGGTGTGAGTACACGCGGTATGTGGGGTGTAAGGATGATTTTACAGCAGCATCTTTGGATTTACTCCTACATCGCGACAGTCCAGATAACGTGGGATTAACTCAGCGTTCAAGATTATTATATTGGAGTGAGTGAGTGAGTATGGTTTTACGCCGCTTTTAGCAATATTCCAACAATAACACGGCGGGGGACATCAGAACTGGGCTTATTATATTGGAACACACATGCCTGAGTGTGTGTGGCTGCTTGTACCGGTGCCATTTCTGTGGCCCCCTTTATGATATTGTTGGAATACTGCTACAAACAACCTGTATCACCCGCCGGTAATATATATACATATTAAGACGATATAAAAGGAAATATCGCCTATAATAACCGTCGTCTTCATGGTGCATTGTGTCCTTAACAATAGTTCTAGTGGCACGAAAACACAGAAAGTAAATCTGGATACAATGAAACCCTGATATACCAACCTTTATCAGACCGATTACTTAGCAGATTATTAGCTGTCGCTACGTCCGTGTATTGAAGTGTCATCTGAATATGTGGTTCGTTATGAGGGACTCTTGTTAACGCGAGCGATATAACTCGGAACTGGTTCCTTAACCTTGATCCATTGCCTCGTCTCATCACAGAATATTTCTTCATCCATATACTCTCCCAAAAAAGAAACGCATATAGGAATTTCAACTGTATTTTTATGTATACATGTATTTTGAAACATCTTGTAGGCTTTATGAGTCAATGAAATATAGTGAAATTGCACACTGGGAATGCAGAAATTATCCGTCTTTGGCATCAACTCGAGGAAAGTCAGTTTGCGTGTCACATGGAGACGTGTGGTGGCGCTGAAGTCAATACCTCGTGGGACCACCGTGGGCATCCAGAATTGCACGGCATCGCCTCGGCAACGAACGAATAAGTCTCAGAATCTCGTGTTGCCCAATTGCAGCCCACTCTGCCTGTAGTGCCTGTGCGAGTTGCTGAAGTGTCTGGGCTGAGGGTTACGGCGTTGCACCCGTCTGTCCAGGGCATCCCACAGATGTTCGATCGGGTTTAAGTCCGGTGATCTTGAGGGCCAGGGGAGCACATTGATGTTGTGGTTCTGGAGGAAGTCTCTAGTGTGACGTGCTGTGTGGGGCCTGGCATTGTCCTGTTGAAACAACTCCCTCTGGCGATCAATGATTGGAAGGAGGTGTGGGCGTAGGATTTCGTCACAGTACCGTTGAGCTGTCAGGTTGCCCTGGATCATCACCAAATCACTTCTCCTACGGCAGGTGATCGATCCCCACATCATAACACTGCCCCGGCCGAATCTGTCCACCTGGGAAACGCAAGCGTCGGCGAAACGTTCGATGTCGACGATGTTGTTGTCGAAGCACAGGGCCAAAATAAGGTCTTCTGGCATGTACTTCGAGCGGTACTGGTCGCTGTAGCTGTTCGATGACGCAGGTGATGTACCCGGATGTAGCGATCCTGCGCCGCAGTGGTCGCTCGAGGTCGCATTCTGCCGGCGATATCTCTCCCAGAGCCTTGAAATGGTGCTTTGGTGAACATTCATGCATCGGGCAACTGCACGTTGAGACTGGCCAGCTTCAAGCAAACCAATGGCGATATGACGGTTGGCCTCATTTAGACGAGGCATTTTGCGTTCGTCAACAATATTCCAAATACAGTGAATAATCGACAGACTGCGATCAACCTTTTATACCCATCATTGAGACTATCTGATCTCCAACTTTCACGTGTATTGCATGTGAATTGTGTATTCTGTGACACTACACGCCAAAATTGAAAATCATGCTGTTAAATACGGGTATTTTACGGATGGCGCGTTTTGTTGTGATGTTTCAAAACATAAACACCATAGGACTCATAAACAGAGCACAACCTTTTGTAAAATGAATCCCGTTTTAATTCATTGCTACATGAAATTGCTATTTTGATGATGCGTTTCTTTTTTGGGAGAGTATATTATAAAATAACACCGATGTCCAAAAGTTATTATGTACGGGTTAGGTTTTACTCCCCTTAGAATAGTATTTCAATTACATCCGAGTGTATCAACATAATGCAAAAGGAATAAAGATAATAAAGTGATTCAGGTCTCAGACATATGGACAGGAGGACAATGCTGACGTACCAAGGTTTGTAATCAGGGGAAATCTGGGACTCAAATCCATGGTCACTGGATCCTGGCACGACTAAAGGGTTGCAACTCTGATGCACCGCCATCCGCCACTCTCTAAACATGATGTATCGAAATGTAGAGACAGGAGAGTTACCATGAACCAGTGCGACTGTCACCTACATGTGTACAAGAATGTACGTCATATTATATTCACTCTCGTGTTAGGGACACTGTGCGCGATACATTAGACACGGGAGGTACGTGTTATAATGTATCGTGCACAGTCATTGTTACTTTCAGTCTTGAAAATTCAGTGGAAGCGATTTAACAAGGCATTACAATGCGCATGTTGATACGACTGGAGTCAGGCGCTTTCAGGCCTCAACACAGCGGTTCACAGTACAGCTCGGTATTCACAACAACTTGAAAAGAGGAATTACCTCAGTGATATTGACTGTAAGCGTGTTTTCTTTTCAATAGTTAAAGTAGAGCACCGTTCTCTCAGAGCGAATAAACCCATAAAGAGTCACTGTATACAAATTGAGAAATATACGTATCATGTTGTTAGCTAGCCCGGCAACTATGCCTGTCAATGGGGTTCTATTTATGCTCCTTTGAAGCCGTGCGTAACCTGCCGCTTTCCCATTGCATACTCGAATTCACTAGGACGGGACGACTTCCATTGATATTTCCAAAATAACATTAAAACAGATTGAATTTACTCTGGTTTTGGCCTAGATACAGTGTTCTTATTTCACCCGAGCACGGTGTGTGACAGGGTGATTGCACCTGTGTGTGTTTGTTGTGTTAACTGTGCTGAAGAAAGTCCACCCGTCGTAATGGACAACGGTTCGCCATATCGGATGAATGGAGGCTAAGGAACCAGTGAAAGACCAGGTAATTAAATTTGATGTAAAGTTACCTAAAGTAGACTACACGTATTACATACGTGATGTTTTGTGGTGTTACCTTAGTAAGTGTACTGGGAATTGAAACACTGTGTCCATGGGCGAATGGGAAAGTAATATTTACTTAACCCCGACCACACAATTTATTGCATTTCCGAACCAAAAATATTAATATATAAATTATGTCGCTGATAAGATTATAAGATGTTACTCTTGTCAAGCAGGTCGTTTATGTTACAAAACTGTATCTGTTTATAGCAAGTATACACTGTGTCCTACCTTAGCTGAATGCTGATGAAACATACCTGAACACATATCAGCTGTAATATATACACTGTAATAAACAATGATAATTCGAAACCTTTTGATTCGATTTAGTATTGTTTTATTACAGTATATATATTACAGTAACTTCACCTAACGTATTCACAACATTGTTTTGAGATGGGATATGTTTTACCACAGCGTCATTTACCCTATTAAATTCACATAAACTTCACTGATATTTGATCTGTCAGCCTAATCCTAAGTAGTCGCGATTGATCTAGAACCAGTTGTGAACACCAACAGCAAGACAAATAACAATATTAACAACAATAACTAATTATGCATTTGACTTAAGACTGGTGAAACATCACATCAAGAGTTCACGTGCGTTCATAATACACGAGTTACATATGTAAGAAGTACTACAGTCAGTTATGAGCTGTGCAATAACACGGTGCCCTGTTCAAATGTTCATGTGGTGTGCCAGTACACCCTCTCCTGTTCAGCCTGACATCTGTGATTATATTCATCAACAACCATCAGCGACGAATCAGTAAGCAATATTAAACCATGTATCCCGTAAGTCATAGTTAAATGTTACTGGCAATTCTGTTTCTACGTAACTATAGGACGTTTAAAGATATTACGCTTTGAGTGTACATTGATTGGACCAAATGAATTTTGTTAGAAAGTCACAATACTTTTGTCAACTTCATCGACGTGTTTGTATAATTATTGTTCCAGAGGATGAGGTGTACACGAACCCTGAGATGAAAGATGGATGATTTCCATGGATAGGGTGGGAAATGAAGTAAAGTTCTCATCAAATATATCCTTTCAGCTGTCACATCATCAACAACAGCAGTTACAACTGCATCTACGCCTACATCTACAGCTGTTCCCGGCCTATCTGCAGCAGCAACCGTAGGTTTAGTTCTAGGTGTTCTAGTACTGCTCTGTCTGGTGCTGCTGCTAGTGGTTTGTCTGGTCCTCTGGAGAAGGAAGAAGAGGATGGAGGTAGTAGAGATCAAGAGACGGTCGGAGGGGAGGGAGGAGAGGAGGAGAAGAAGGAGAGAGCGACGACTTAGACGCATGCAAGGTATTCACTAACCCTTCAATATATGCCCCCCACCCCTTCTCCGAACAGTCTGATATAAATTTATATTGCTTGTTTATGTTTGTTGGGAACACGGCGCGCAGAAATATTCCGGTGACGGTGGTCTGTATTTGATCGAGTCTGGACATGACAATCCAGTGAGTTACATTAAGAGAAACCGATCCATCTACGCAATCGGGATACGATGGCATGCACAGACCAAATCAGTGAAATTTGAGCACGCCTCCTAAGAACCCGGTTCTAAATATATATGAGCTACGTTCACCGAGTGTATCAATTCATTCTAGAGAAGCTTTGAAAAAAAAGGTACTACTGGTATTTGTCAAAATGACATCACCTCGATCAAAACAGATCTTAGTGTAGAAGCCAGATATACAATAACATTTAACATATCCACAGAGGGACATGAACCTTGTGGCTCTGACAGCGACTCCAGTGACTCCGGCTACAGTGGAAGGTCGACGACATCGTTGTTCAGACCCGAGGAGAGACATGGAGACAGTAACGACCTGGATGAGGCGAGAAAGAGCCCAGAGCAGAAAACGCGACGGGTATTCGACGAGGAAGGCAACCTTCTTTATGAGGTTAGTATGTACATGGTAGTCATGACATCACGCTGTTTTATGTGATCATATCTCAAACACTCTGTGCGTACTGAAATGTAATCGATGAACAAATGAACACAGGATAAGATGAGGCGACTGTCGCATTGATGAGTTTTCTAAATGTCTAAATTCACACCAGAATTATATAATATTATGATGAATCCATTTTAGTCCTAGGCCAAATGTTAGAAAAGTCCCTATCTTTTAGGATCTCTCAGCAGCGGTAAAAGCGTTATCCAGTAATTGGTATGACAACTCCCACCCTCCAGAGATTCTTGTCAATGTGGAACTAGACACAGAATGTATCAGGTTGCTGAAAACAAACAAGGTTTACCCCGCTGTTGAAACAGTGTCCACATGTTCATAGACCAACTTCATGAGTATTAACCGCATGGTTTAATGGACGGTGACAAGCACTGATGTTCAAGATATGCAGTATGAGTGATAAGGCCTGGTGTATCATATTACCTGATAATGATGTTATCTCTACTTTTGGCCTAGGAGTAATTTGGAAAAATGATGCGTTTTTGTTTAGCAGCGCAACAAGTGATTACAGCTACATTAATAACGGTCTGAAAATGATCAGACCCAGAGCAGACAATCTAATGATTGATAAGATTAGGAGATGATTGTGACACGAAATTTGCAGTATTGCTAAATTACGTTTTTCAGCAGAATATACCACGTTCAAGTGACCAAGAAGAGAAAGAGGTATGTATTGGTTTCAGAGAACGTATTGTCATTATTCAGACATAATGATTTTGCTCTCCTGATGAAAGTTCATTTGGAAAATGACATTGACAATGTTGAGCAACGCATTGATACTAAGTGTTTTCTAAATATCCTTAGATGTTGATATAAACAAAAACATGTTGTTATCTGAATTCCCGTTATGAGAAATAGTGGAGAGCTATAAATCTGGTTTTACTGTTGCAGAATGACAATGGTGTTAAACGGGTTAAACAAAAAAGGAAGAAGAAAACCAGGAAGTACACCAAGATGAAGACGTTGCCAGATGGTACCGAGGTAGGGCCCTAACCACAACAACCTGTTTCCATATTGTTGCTACTCAAATAGTCTGAAGCATTGAAGGCATAGGCCAAATGCACGCTGGCCTGATCCAGTAACAGCCCGTAGACGCATCGCTTGCTCATAGACAAACAATGAATGAAATCAAGTAAATCTGTATTGTCATGAATAGCACCATACGTGGGTCTGTGTTGCTACTGTGAGTAGTGCGTGCAAACTATTGAATGTTTTTAGTGTTTACAGACGTAAACGATCTAGAATTAGACGTTTGTATTCAACATTATCTTTGTTTTAATACTTGATATAAACATTTATTTATATACATTTCTTGATTCCTTCCTTTGAGTATACATTGCAAGTGCAATACGCTAGGAAGAATGGTTACAAAGTATTAATACAGGCTTCAAAGAAATATAGAACTACATTTTGTTATAGTCTACATGTAGTGGTACACTATTAGTTTTAGAAAGTTTCTCCTATGTTCTCAACAGAAAAAACCGTGGTACATCGTGGTAAATCAGTTATCAATTGAGTGTTCAATCCGCAGGTCAAGGAAATGATTGAGAGTGACCACTGGTCAACGGATAGCGAGAACTCTCCCCATTCCGTGCACCAGGATCCTATTGACTGGCACCTTGCCAAACAGAGACGGGAGAAGGAGCACACGTCCATGGTGGTGAGGCTTTTTACCTTTTCTCGTTACAAAATCTCGCTCTCTGATTGGTCGGGCAACGTGTTGTGAAACCCAGTATAATTAGACTGTACTTAAAGGCATGACGTTATAGTTTTGGTGTGACGTCATTTGCTTGTTGCATCACAATATAGCATGTCGGGACTTTGACAACCACTCCTACACTTAAAGTCTGACAGCGTTCACGTGTTAAAATACAGATCTAACTGTTACATAAATATCCCATAGAAATAATATCTCGTAACTTGTGAACTTGCAGAATAGCACGTGCACGCGTAAATAGTGTGGTGTCTGGGATCTCCTTCGGTTGAACATTGATACCGGTTTTATGAGCTGCGGTACAGTTTAGTGAGATAAAAGAACCACGAATGCAACTCCCCTGAGAAAGTGTACTATTGTTTCTGCTACCACCAAGAAATATCACGACTGATTGTTTGTTGTTTTACGTCACACTCAGCAATATGGCAGCAATATGACGGCCGTCTGTACATAATCGAGTATGGACCAGACAGTCCAGTGATCAACAGCATGAGCATCGATCTATGCAACTGGTATACGAAGACATGTGTCAGTTAAGTCAGCGAGCCTGACCACCTGATCCCGTTAGTCGCCTCTTACGACAAGCATGGGTTACTGAAGACCAATTCTAACCCGGGTCTTCACGGGTCCCAGAATATTTAAAAAAAATTTTTTTATTAAAATGTCGCAATGCTAATACAAATGCTGGCTATGTCTTATTTAAGGAACGATCAACTGGAAGTAATACAAAAACTTTAGTAAGTCGACCCGATCACGAGAAGAGTAAGCCGAATGCCACCCTACCATTTTCTCTGCCGGGCATCTTCAAGTCTCTGGCCAAAGGGAAGAGGAAGCTGCCTGAAGCGCCACCTGGCGAGGAGCAGACCCCTCGAGAGGCTGACCGCTACATAGAGCAGTACCACGAAAAGAAAGACATTGAGAGGAGGCTGGAGGACGAAGGGTTCTGGGAGGATCCTAAAGCCAAGAAAACAGCTCTGGAGATATTTGTGAGTTCATGTGTGGTGTGTGGGGTCAGTTCGCTGTTCATTGTAAAGGTTCTGTTTCGAGACGGGGTAGGTTTCGCTCAAAATCTTGTCAGGTCTGTATGAATTATAACTGACGTGACAACATATACCGGTTAACGTTTTTTAATTAGGGTCCAATTTAGGGAAATGAAACCTTCTTGCGTAAAATATATCTCACTCTGTCAACAACTGACCTTGTCACGCTTGCATAACGAATATTGTCTGTTTTACTACTGCAGTGTGAAGCAATGAGTGACGATCATACATGGTGAGCAATTTCCGATTTTGGTTAATTGTTTCAGGATTTTGATAATTTGGACAGCCAACTGGACGAGTCTCATTCACCAACCGTCGACGACGCTGCAGAGCGAGACCAACACCAGGTCACGTACACATAATCTCTCACAGATGAACCTTGGTTGTTTAGACATCATAATTACGGAAACCAAAACAATCCGAACAATTATTGTGATTATGAAACTGATCGGTGGGGTATTGTACTCAGGCACCTAACCAGGGTGCATCGTACTGGACAATGGAATTAATGGAATAATGGAATATTTAACTTTAAAATATTTACAGAAAACGTCATCCACGAGACTCAGATGTGTAACCTAACGGTATCACCTACTCAAGGTATAATCATTAGATATCTAAATTGAACTGTTGTTTATGTAAAACGTGTGTAAGTGTTTCTGTGTCCATGTATGTGTGGGTGTTAGTGTTTGTGACAATGGCCTCCCTGCTCTGTCTTCAGGATGGTATGTTTTCCCGTCTGAGCCGCCAAACCGCGCACAGCACAGAGTCCAAGAATCAAACACTACCGGATATTGAGGTATGTTGTTATACTACCGGATATTGAGGTATGTTGTTATACTTTCCTGATCAACAGGCTACTTAAGTGAAGACATTCAGTATCCAGAGCTGGAATAAATTATTATTATCATTGGGGTGGTGGGCTAGCCTAGTGGTTAAAGTGTTCGCTCATCACGCTGAAGACCCGGGTTCGAGTCCCCACATGGGTACAATGTGTGAATCTCATTTCCACCGTAATATTGCTGGAACATTGTTAAAAGCGGCGAAAAACTATAACCCAGCTGATAAGCGAAACATGTCGGACATGCTAATCATAGTGCGTCATTGACGTTTTTGTTAAACACGTAAATTTGATTAAACATTGAACGGCGATTTTTACCCTGTAGAAAACATATTGCTAAAAGCGATGTAAAACCAAACTCACTCACTCGTTACGTGTCTGTATCCTACCCTTAAGCTTATCATGTAGGATATTGTTTCTATTTACTGTATTTGTGTTTTGTGTTGTATATCAGCGACCATCAAGTCTTGTGGCTGGTTCCCATGACGACGCATGTGACGACAGGTCTGTGAAAAGTTCAGACACAGACAGGAGGGCAACCGTAAGTAGCATCGTGATAATTCCAATTATACCTGTTTCGATATCAGCTATTTGTATGATGGTATTTTGTATGTGGATACGTCGGGTATAATTCCCCAGCAACGTTTCCGTAACATACCAGCTGACTTGATTGATCACGTGATGACGTATCTTAGGGCGTGGCTCTTTGCTAGTGATATTGACCACTGGTTTGTCTTGTCCAGGCTCGTTCTTCACAAGCCCAACGACATATATTCGAGGTAATATTGAGTGCGGAGTCAAAAAGGAAAGCAAACAATTGATGGTTTCGGGGAACGTGTTTCAACATTTCGGTTTTACTGCCTGTTATCGTATGAATGTTCTTTATTTCCACCAATGGTTTGATGAGTTATACATCCAGTTATGTATATCTTTTTAGAGCATAACACACATTTGTGACAAAATGGAAAGTTCAATAATATTTGAAAAATTCAACAGAACATAAAAAATCATAGCTCTTGGCAACAGATGATCACTGGGCAATATGTACAAAGCATTACATGCTATTCTTATAAATACAGAATGCTGGCTAGGTTCCATGCACTGATGCGTTTTGCAATAATGCTCATGAACCTAGCCCAGCTATCGAGAGTCATGTCCTGCACAACCGGAGTAATGGAACCAAGGTATGTGAGGATTTTAACCTCGTCTTCAGCATCTTCGAGTCTCATATACGTGTCAAGAGACACGTTATCAAACAGATGCTCGCTCAGTGCGTTCCTGTTTTCTACCAGCTTGTCACAGTATAGGAGTTGATGTTTTACAATGTCCTCACTTTCAGTCTCGCATATAAGACACAGTCCAAGTGTGACGGGCAGTATACCCAACTTTATCAGAGCATAGACAGGAGGGGTGGCCATGTTATACCACAAACACAGGTTCCATAGACGATGAGGAGAGAGGCGCGTATGAATGGCACCAAATCTCTGCATATTTGGACGCTCTTGGAGTTTATTTCTCCATTCAGTGTGTTCGTGGTGGCATATAGCCTTCTGTACCATGGAATTCCATACATTTTTGCATGGAAATTCTCCTGTTGTCATGAAGGTGTCAATGATATCTGAAAATCCATATTTGTGAGCTGCATTCAAGAGGTCATGGGCAATCGATCTTGTACTTTTTACCACAGTAGACATATATTCCGCGAATCTCAAATACATGATAGGCTTCACAATACTGGTACTGGCTGAGCGACAGAGTCGGCCCCAAAACAGGAGCTTTGATTTATCTACTCTGCCTTGCATTGACCAAAGCCCTAGTACCTGAGCTGTAGCAACTGTAGGAGATCTCTTGTGGAGGTTCTGGACTCTTCTAGCAAAGTAGCGCTGCACAATTTCCATTTCATTCATCTCAGTGCTGCTGATATTGCTCCATAGCTCACATGCGTAGAATGCAGAAGGAAAGATAACTCTTTGCCAGATATCGGACGATGACACAGGGTTTAATCCACCAGCTCGTAATCCTACATCTCGGAGTGAGTTTATTGCTCTTCTCGCCTTGGCACATGCACGAGTTGTCCTTTCTCTTGCTTTCTCTGTATGCATGATGGATCCCGCATACACAGTGTTGGATTTGATTGGCAGCCTTACATCCCCGATTCTGAAAACGGGTTTGTTGAGATATTTTGTAGAATTTGTGAAGGACAGGACACAGCTCTTACTGGCGTTGTATGTCATTCTCCAACGGCAGGCATATTGGTGGATCTTGTTAAGAGCCACATTGAGATATGTACAGTAGTACTGACGACTGTGGTGTCGTCAGCAAAGTAGAACTGTCGGGATGTGATTCGTGCCAATAATTAGTCCACATTGTAATTGGTCTAGCTCCGAAATAAGGTCATTGATGTAGACTAGAAACATCCATGCTGATAACACTCGCCCTTGTCCTACTCCTTGGTGGATATGAAAAACATCACTTGTCATCCCGTTGTACTTTACACGGGCTTGTGCTTCTTTATATGATTGCTGGATTAGATGCCATGCACGATCCTTCACACCAATAGTGTGTAGTTTCAGGAGGAGTCCGTCGTGCCATATTCTGTCGAAGGCCTTCTCGTTGTCTAGGAAAGCAGCATACACACTTGAGTTCCTATCCTGGTAGTATGAGATAGCTTCCTTCAGGACGTACGTAGCAATGTTAGCTCCATGCTCTTTGCGGAATCCACACTGGAGGCGGTTTGGAAAGCCTGGGTTTGCCGTTTTAAGATAGGATTCTATGTTGGTCAGCAACAGTCTCTCAAATATCTTGCCAATCACAGATGTCAAGGTTATTCCACGGTAATTACTTGGGTTGGTTTTGTCCTTATTATTTCCCTTGTATATTGGAATAATGGTTCCAGTTCTCATCATCTGAGGGAGTGTAGCAGGAGCTAATCATCATGTTGTAGAGGTGAGCCAGATGTTTATAGAGCAGTTCTCCAGCATTACATAAGTGTTCCGCTGTAACACAGTCAGGCCCTGGAGACTTGTTCTTTTTCAAAGATCCTATTGCTCCTTTCACGTCGACGGCTGTCACTGGTGTCTTCAGGATCGGATCATCCTTGGAAATCTGATGGGTTGACATTTCATTCACTCTTGATTTGGTGTCTTCGTAGAAGTCAGAGTCGAACTCAGGTCGGGTTAGTTGGGAGAGTAGGTCCTGGTAGTAGCCGGCCCACATAGTACATATGTCCTCAGGAGTATTAGCTGTCTTCTCCTTTGTATTCTAGGGACGTACAAGTCACACTACACCTTCTCTGTTTTCTAACGGTACGATAAAATTCGCCAATGTCCACTTCACAGGCAGAGTGGAGTTCTGTGTACTTCTCTCGGTCCCACTCCCTTTCAGCTTTTCTCTTCTGTCGTCGGAAGGCGCATTTAGCTTTCTTGTATGCTCTGTAAGATTCATATGAATCTCCTCTGGGTCTATCTTCGGATATCCATTGTCGTCTGGTCTGTCGCATCTGGAAGTGATAGTAGTCCAGACTCGAACCTCTCAGTACGGTCTCAGGTACGGCTTGTAGTGTCCTGTGGGTATATGCATCGCTGTTGAGGTGTTGATAGAGCTCACAATAGCGTCGTAGTAGTGTTCCACCATATCACCGTTACAATCCTTTAGACTCGGCATGGTGTTACCCAGCATCTTGTCGACCTCTGATGAATACATGTTCAGTTGTGAAGCATCAGCCTTTTTCCATTTGAAGGTTTTGGATTCCACACTTTTTGTCCTGTTAGGAACATGTCGCTTATAAGTTTCGTCACAACGGGAGTGGTCAGATATGTCGTATGTAACATCATTATGTATAGTTGTCACTAACACTGATGATTTCAGGGACACTGGTAAAAGATATAGTCAATCAATGATGACTGTGTTCCAGTTTTATTGTGCCATGTCTTCATATTTCCTTTCGTATCACCACAGTCGACTGACGACAGCATATTCCTTGAGTCTAGGTAAGTCTGAAGAATAACAGACCTACTGGATCCTGCATTGTGGACGAGGTCTGTGTTGAAGTCCCCGCATAATATAACATAGCCACTTTCCGATAGCTCGTCTACAATATCAAACACCTCCTTGACACTCTCTTCAAACTCTGCTATGCTGTGATTAGTGGAGGGAAGCAGAGCAGAGACTATATACATGTCACCACACTGGGGGCGAGACAGTCGCACAGCTACAACACTATCATACTCGCATTCACATTCATAAACCTCTCTGTACATATTTTTCTTAACTAGTAGTGCCACCCCACCTTCTCCTTTATATCCTTTTTTGATCTGCTTTAATTTTAGATGTAATATCAAACGTGTCATGCAGACAATCAAACCAGCACTGAGTTCTGTCATTAAGCCAATGCTCACACACAGCAAGGGCATCGCACTGATTTGCTAATGTCTCTAGGTACTGCCCACTGTACATTACACCTCTTGCATTCCATGTTCCTATGCACAGCATGTAAATGGAAAGTAGATACACTAGCATACACATTTTAACTAGAATGATGCACCACTACGACCTCTAGAGTATGAAACCCATTCTCTGCATCTAACATTTGAGGCCAGAAGTTCTCATCCTGAAGCACTCGCTCAGCTGCTTTAGTGTCTATGTTCAAACGCACAGTATAGGTAGGATTCGAGCCCTCCCAGCGTTTTAAGAGTCTTACGAGGGAGATATTCACTTCTCTTTTCCTGCCATATGCAATAATGGCATCATGTATAATCTCAAATGACTTATCAGCTCTAACGTTCGACAGTACAAGTCTTTTTCCTCTTATACCTGGGTGAAGCCCCTTTGAAAGATCTGTCCCATTCATTGTCGAAGCTCACCATCGGTTGTGCTGTCTCTCTGGCGGCCGGTGTTGGTCGATGATGTTGCTCCTGTGCTGCTGTCAGTTTGCGTTGACGGGACGTCAGGTGTTACCTCTGTGTGAAGCTTGAACCTCTGTCACACCTTCCCTGGGTGTTACAGCGTCAGGAGTATCACTCTCTGTTGTTGGCTCCAAGGACGGCTCAGGATGGATGTCTTGGCTCAGTAAGTATCCTGACTGACGAGGGTGAGTGTGATTCACTGCAGGGAGAGTCGAGGTACTGCTGTCTTGACCGTTTGTTAACGCATTCCATGTTAGTGGCAATATCACTAGTCTTTTTGAGATAATGTCGACACTGGTCTTCAATTCGTCTTTCAACAGATTTATTTGGGAGTCTTTATCTCGTGGTTGAAATACAAGAACTCTGATGTCACTTTGTAACTTCAATTCCGTGTTCTGGTGACGTTCTATTTCTCTCATTGCACAGGCAAGTTCCAGTACTTTTAGTTTCTAAGCTGCGTGAAACCCTCTTCATATCAGCGTCGTACTTTGTCATGTAGAGCTTCTATTTTCCTACTGAGAGTTACAGATTGTTCATTCATACAGTCCTGAATCTCCATCACCTTGGCCAGTAGCAGAGTTAAGGTATCTCTGTTTCTGTGTGTCGTTCTCTCCAGTGTATCCTGGATCACACCGTGTTGTATCACTGTTGGTGACCTTCTGCTTACTCAGCACCTCTCGCTGAATCACCTCTGCCGGTACATTCCCTGTTATGTAACCATATAGATGATATATATCACCAGCATATTTCTCAATAACAGTTTTCTTTGAGGTTCCTCTATGCACTCTCTTTATCAAGTATCCAATAGGTACGTCTTCAAATCTTTCTTTGGCAACGTCATACAGACTTTGTCTCGCACAGTTGATTTTCTCTTCATCATCTTCATAAAATGTCTAAAAGTTCATTTTCAAAGAGACACCCGGTCAGTTGGCCCAGCTTACGATGCACTTCATTGAATATGTCATTGTCTATATCCTCCACCTGTTGCGTAAAGTACCTGTCCTCTGGGTCATTACCTGCCCCGTTCATTGTCTACCAATCAGCTGCGCTCCACACACACAATAGCAGTTACACTGTTCAATTAGTGACCAAGCTGTATACAGCAAGTCTCTTTTAGAAATTGTTCATTGTTTGACTTAAAAGTGACATAAAATACATAAACGGCAGCAAACAATGCAACAAACAATTTCACATATTGTAGCCGAGTTCATGGGCTTCATTCACATACCATTTTCGGAAGACATCTATGGGTATAAGATGTCTATAATTCCTAAAACTGGAGAGCAGCTTTTCATGACTTCACCCAGCGACCATAGCAGCGACCGTTACGTGTCTGTATCCTACCCTTAAGCTTATCATGTAGGATATTGTTTCATTTACTGTATTTGTGTTTTGTGTTCTATATCAGCGACCATCAAGTCTTGTGGCTGGTTCCCATGACGACGCATGTGACGACAGGTCTGTGAAAAGTTCAGACACAGATAGAAGGGCAACCGTAAGTAGCATCGTGATAATTCCAATTATACATGTTTCGATATCAGCTATTTGTATGATGGTATTTTGTATGTGGATACGTCGGGTATAATTCCCCAGCAACGTTTCCGTAACATACCAGCTGACTTGATTGATCACGTGATGACGTATCTTAGGGCGCGGCTCTTTGCTAGTGATATTGACCACTGGTTTGTCTTGTCCAGGCTCGTTCTTCACAAGCCCAACGACATATATTCGAGGTAATATTGAGTGCGGAGTCAAAAAGGAAAGCAAACAATTGATGGTTTCGGGGAACGTGTTTCAACATTTCGGTTTTACTGCCTGTTATCGTATGTGTAAAACTTGGTGTTCTAGTTTCTATTCGCCCTGATTATGATTCAATGTTTGCCAGCACCATACCAAAATTGGTAAAACCTGGCACCTACCCAACTTTGGGATTTTTTTGCCACATAAAGCTTGCATCCCGTTATATAGCGTCTTTAAAACCGATTCACTCAGTCGCTCATTATAGGTTCTTGTGTGGCTGGGTTTCTGACATGATTCCTGTTTCAGGAGAAGGCTCGAATACTGGCATCGCTGAGTCGTCTTCTGACCGAGAGACTGTTTCATGATGATGAAACAGAAAGAAAATCAACGAGAGCTCAGGCATGTATTACATCTAGTTCAGAAGGAAGACATATTCCATTTGGATTTGATTATTCAGTGTCAGTGTATAATCGAAAACACAATTTTAATTATTTGAACACTTTCATTTGCATTAAAGTCACTCTGTGTTGTGTCTAAAACACTGAAGTTAATAATGGTCGTTCAAGTTTACTCTTGTTTCAATCTGTAAAACTAATTGCAACAGATTGTCTGTAAAAAGTAACCTATAATATCCATGTTATAACTGGCCTTCGGCATCTAATGCTTGTTGGGCTCTGATATTTTTCTAATGTCGTGGACCACTGCCTCAAAGTAATAAAGTTCAGTTCAGTTCTCACGGGATTGGCTGGTCTGGTGCGGTGACTTGTTTGATGTTTGCCATCGTTTCCATATTGAATAGATGACATTGTAAATCACTGGATCGTTTGATCCAGTCACGATATTATACAGACCGTGGTACTTTTGATGTAACATTTGCGGCCTAACACTTCAAACAGAATAAAAGTCTTGATCTACTATCTTGTCGTTTAGTAGTTTTTTGTGGGGCTTGGTACAATATGCAACCACAGAAGGTCTTTTCTCGAAAAATAATGTTTAAATATCAAATAGCATTTCGGTTATTTCTCTCCTATGTTTCAGTCTGGAAAGGTCATATTTGTCGACGAATGCCGTAATAGGACTCCAGCCTCGCACCCATCCAGCAGAGCGAAGTCACGTGGGTCGCAGTTACGTCATTCCCATCATGCCTCAGGGGAATCTGCCAATGATAATGGGAACGTACCAAACAGCAGACCCGATTCCCAAAGTGTGGAGTTACCTCCCGTGAAACGACCAGGATATCACACGCCACGACACACTCCTAGATACACCCCTAGATACACCCCTCATGGCAGGCGGCAGCTGGGACCAGACAAGGCGGCAGCACTGAGATATGGCCTGCAACAAGACAGAGGGTACCTCATGCATCTTCTTAGGGGCCCATGTGAGTATATTCAAGTCATACCATTCAAGTGCTCCTCCGTACCTCCCTAGACCCACCCCGGGGAAGATAATATGACCTACTCAACGTACACAGAATGTAGCTTATTCACATAATTAACTCGTTAATCTAACACGTGGTCATAAGTATTGTTGCGACCCGTTTCACCGACTACCCGACAGCAAGGTGACGACGAAAACACATTCAGAGTTGTCTCCCTTTCATTACACTCGGGGTAGGCTCGGTTCGGTTTCTAGATTATAATTGTTATATATTCATTATGATACTAGCAGAAAAACGAAGAGCTACGAGGAGTTTTAGATTATGTACCGAGTGAGTATATGTTGTAGGCGAAGAGGCTCGTCTGTTCTAATTTCAATGTAAGTGTGGAGTAGAAACTTCTCTCACGGCATAAGACGGACAGAGCTGTGTGAACACAGTGGTTACCATCTATGTTCATAACCAGTGCTTCAGCACTGTCCCTTTAATACCACAATAACTAGACGACACATAGAGTGTCAGGGTGCAAGACCATTGACCCGTACGCAGTCACGTACACTCTAAGTCAGGGTCTGATCACTTACAATATTGATTAAGTTACAAACAATAGAATGTGAATTACCCAGATTTTGTATACCCAAAACCTACACCAATCAAATGTCTCCTAAATGAACCTCCTACGGTTATTGTAACTAACAAATTTGCTATGTTGTATCTGCGTTTGTTCTTATATTATTTAATAAAGTAATCATAGACTTTATGTTAGGCCAATACCTGTTTTTATGGACCCGGAAAAATGCAATATCGACCTCGGGATCCATAAAAAACAGCCACTGAACTATTGTAAAGTTTATAACGATATAATGTGTGGTTTCAAATTTACCGGTGATATTGAGTATTCGATCCAGGAAATTGTAGCGGCCTCGGTAACAAATGAAATTTCCGGGGACTCATGGAACCCTGCAAATACTGGTGTTCTTCTAAATACATTCTGTTTGTGGCATAAAAACGAAGAGGAGGAATGTTGGGATAGGGAAGATCGATTTCAACTGATCGAGTCACGAGATAATTATATAATCAATACAGTGCTTACATTATTACAACATAACATTGATTATTTTATGACAACATGCATTACTGCATTGTTGAACCGTAAAGATAAGGATTTGCATTGGTTTCAACAACCCATTCTTGTCGTAAGAGTCGACTAGCAGGATCGGATGATCAGACTCACTGACTTGATGCATGTTTTGGTATCCCAGTTGAGTAGATCGATGCTCATGATGTCAATCACAGAATAAACAGTTCCAGATTCCAATATTTTCAGACTAATATTTATAGCTGGACTATTGCTGAGTGCGGCGTTAAACTGATCTTCAGCAAATGTGATCTTCAGCAAATCATACTTGTCGTATGAGTTCAGGCTCGCTGATTTGGTTGACAAATATCATCTTTTCCCTGTTGATGATCGATGCTCACGATGTCAATCACTGGCCTGTTTGGTTCCGACCGCTGTCATATATCTGAATATTGGTGAGTGCGACGTTAATCATATAAACAAACATTATTACAACAAACGTCACGTTCATGTAAAAATGGAGGCGTTGGTGACCAAGCAGCCTAAAACACCCCCGATTCACTCACTCATACACCACACCGCTACTCACTTTGACGGGTAATAACGTGTTATCACTTCTTCAGGGCCGACCAGAGAAGCCTGGAATGACCAACCAATGGACGGGACCGACAGACCGTGGACAATTCAGGTAGTTCAAACTTCAGTTACCATAAAAAACAACAAAAAAAAACAAACAAACCAAACAAACAAACATTTACAAGCCCAGGGACCTGCAAATCCGAACAGTGCGGTTCCTGATGAAATAATCCCGATTTGGAAATACCCAGAATAACTGATCATGTTTAAGGAATAATGTTCTGAAACATATCGAATTGAATGAGTGGTGGTGAGTATTGACAATACCAAAACACTGGTTTCGTGCTTGCCCAAGGAAGCAACTCTGCATGTGGCTGCGACGCCGTGGACGAGGGTCCTTAAGATATTGGAGAGGTTTATTTGGATTAACGCAGTTTCGAATTGTATGTTTAGTATCACCATGGCGTGTCAGATAATGTGCGAGGGAAGCCACAAGTTATGCAGGTTAGAATTGATTAGAATTGGTCTTCAGCAATCCATGCTTGTCGTAAGAGGCGATTAACTACATCGGGCTGGTTAGGCTACCTGACTTGGTTAACACGTGTCATATCCCGATTGTGTAGATCGATGCTCATGATGTTAATCACTGGATTGTCTAGTCCAGACTCGATTATTTACAGAACGCCGCCATATAGCTGGAATCCTCCTTAGGGCGGAGTTAAACAACAAACAAACAAATATATCTTCGAGCATGACTCTGGTGCTGAAAGCCTAGAAACACAATCAGAAAAACCCCACCTACACCCCATCCTCGATAACCTCGAGTGATCGTAACGTATACCCTGGAGATTATCGAGGATGACCTACACCCCTACTCACTCAATGATTGGAAAGCAAATACATGTGATGCATTATTGATGGTATTACAGCGCGGTGCGCACGGCAACAACACCCGTGATACCAGCGACATTGACTACACCACGACATCTGGCGACATGGGCTACCTCGACATTGATGATGCGAGGCTCAGACGTTTGCTGGAAGAGCTGTACGGAGACAAGAAGTACATGGATGCTCTACTTGCTGCCGGAGGTAGTCACTGATGACTTCATTCCCGAGAATATTGATGAACGTATTTATGTATACTGGACAAAATAAGTGAGGGAGTGGTGGTATGTTTATGATTGATATTTTATCAGTGTGTCAATGAATAATTAGATCATCATTCATAATTTCAAAATTTACATATATCCCAAACTATTTTTGTCCAGTATATTTAGTTATTTAGCCCATGACAAGGACTGTTTCTGTATGGCATGATTATTATTCAAAATATATGAGAGATTCGGGGTTGTCGGATGCTCATGATTTTGAACACTGGATTGTTTGGTCAAAATTGGAATATTATAGACCGACGCCACATAGCTGGAATATAGCTGAGTGTGGCGTTAACCAATAAACAAGTAAACAAGGGTTTCGGGTTATTATATCCCCTGATATGTCATATGTAAAGACATGTAATAATGTATTCATACATGACATTCCATTGGTTATATATAAGTACTTTGCTCTCCTCGTCAGGCACCCATGCGTTTTGGTTTCAATCCATCCTACAAAATATTCGACACTAACTCTGGGTCTACATTTTCTGGTTCGTGTGTAATTATGATTATTATTACAGAGACGTCTTCCAAAGAAGAAGTTAAGGCCCTTGCGGAACATGGACGGAACTACTTGCTGCAGATGGCGCTGTACTGGGAGGAGAAAGGTCCTCTTCCTCCGCGTCCTTCTGTCACGGCCCTCGGCTTCAGGATGGAGAGAGCTAAGACAGCTTCCCCGCAAGAGAACAAAACACCGACTCTTCAGAGAAATAAAACGATGGATTGAGAGCATTATGCACTAACCTTCACCGAAACTGATGTTGAATCTGTGAAGCGTAACATCCTTCTACTTGTATAATGTAAATCATTGTAAATATTTATATATTCTGAATATATATATTGTATAAAACAAAACAATCGTCTCAAAGAATATGGGTTTTTCTTACATCACTCGCGCATGTCAACATATGACCTGAAGCTACCAACCATATCGCACGCACGCACGCACACTATATTATATCTAAATGTTGATTTACAAAGTCTGGCGCCTGGCGATATAAGGAAATAATCCATTCTATTATTATGGAATATAATTCCACAGAGATCTGACCACTGAACTTCGACAGCGCCATACCAGTGCTCATCGTTTCACCAACGTCTGGTACATGTATGACTGCAAGCTAACACATCGTGATATAACTGAAATATTGTTCTAAGCAGCGTTAAACTCAATTGACTACGTCAGGAACTTCCTCAAATTCACCAATCGCTGTAGCGAGGAAAGTCATGATGTCCTCATTTGAACTGTAGACATTGGTTGACAAAGGGACTCTGATCGGTTGTATGAAATAAAGTTGATCAAAATCCGCTATACTTGTTCCAACAGGAACTCAATGTGTCACAATGCCTCGCTTTGCTGCGTCGTTACAATTCTTCGGAAAGGTCTCCGCATCAGAAAAAAGCATCAAGTTCTATTTGATGGTTTTGACACAGGGCCGTCTGTTGGACTTCCGGGTTAGAACAGATTTCCCAGCAACCCATGCGACTAGATCGATGATGTGGTCAGACTTTGATGATTTCATGCTATCGTGTCCCACTTGTCTTGTATCGATGTAGATAATCAATCACGGGGGCGATAACTAACAGACCGCGGTCATGGAGCTGTTGTACTGGAGACTGTGGTGTTAAGCAACAAACAAACAACATAAGGCTTGTCATTTTTCTACATGGACGGTGGCATCATTGTCGGTCTAGCCGCAGGCAAGGCAACATGGTCACTGCCACTGGCATTGTCCGACTAGCCTATGCGTACAAGGCGTGGGTAAACCAGCAGCAGGTATCAAGTGAAACACATTGCATTGTACGTAAAACCACATCCGATGGTAAGGTGTGCTGACACTGTTGTAAAATCAGAATATTTGAAATATTCAATTTGTTAGGACATAGGAAAGTTTAAAACACTTATAAAATCGGAATATGTAAAGCACGTTTGTAACATCTGAACACTGTATTTACAGGGGACTGTTTAAAACGTATTTGTGACAACGCAAAAAAATCCATATGAAAATGTTTTGAAACATCGAACAAACTTATAACATCGGATCATATGTTGCTCAATTATAACATCGGCGAAATGTAAAAAATGATGTAACATTGAAACATTTTACCCGTTCGGAACATCTAAGGTACTGCTGTAAAATCATAGCCTTGAAAACACACCCTTGTAACACCTGTAACATCTGTAACATGGGGTGGTCAGGTATGTGAGACGTGGTTGATTTCGTGTCTTATTTGCTTTTGACCTATGCGCTTAATGTCAGTCACTGGAAACCAACGAAAAATTGAGTGAGTGAGTTGGGTTTTACGCCGCTTTTAGCAATATTCCATCAATATTAAAGATATTGTACACATTAAAAAAAGCGACAAACAATTCATATTTCATACGAAATGTTCTTGCAAATGCACATGTATTTAGTATCTAATACATCACATCATAATGATGCAGTTTAATTTGAAACCTCATACCGATGTCTCAATAAATGTAGCTTATAATTTTTCATGATTATTGTATGAAACTCAAGTGTTGATAGTGTTGCTTTGATAGTGGAAATGACTGAGTGAGTTTAGTTTTACACCGCTTTTAGCAATATTCCAGTAATATCACAGCGAGGGACACCAGAAATGAGCTTCACACATTGTACCCATGTGGGCAATCGAACCCGTGTCCTCGGCATGACGAGCGAACGCTTTAACCACTAGGTTACCCCACCGCCCCACGACACGACGACAAATTAGACACACCAGAACATGTAAACCGTTCTCGTGCAACTGGAACATGTAAAACACTCTTCTGAAATCTTCGCCTTCAAAGCACTCTTCTAAAACCAGAACATATAAACATTTAAAGTTTAGACATAGTTGCCATTACAGAACTAAAATACTTTTCAAAGTTTACTCACTCACTCCTCTCACATAATTGTAGCTTAGTTTCACGAACACCTGGTGTTGACTTTCAGTCAGCGGTTCATAAGGCTTTAAACACCCCGCACCCGCGAAGGTCCGGGTTAGAATGAACCTTCAGTAACCCACGCTTGTCGTAAGAGGCGACTAACCGGATCGGGTGGTCAGGCTCGCTGGCTTGGTTGACATATGTCATCGGTTCCCAATTGCGTAGATCGATGATCATGCTGTTGATCACTGGCTTGTCTGGTCCAGACTCTATTATTTACAGACCGCCACCATATAACTGGAATATTGCTGAGTGCGGCGTAAAACTAAACTCACTCACTAATTAACAACCCCGCCGTGATATTGCTGGAATATTGCTAAAAGCGGCGTAAAACCATACTCACTCACTCGCTCCACTCCTTTTAACAACCATATGTGTTCTGTTGCAACATCTGCCTCGTCGGATAAAGGAGACTGGCAACCGTTATTTAGTAGCGTTGACGTTTTAAAGTGTAACGGTCGGCATGCAATACAGTAAATATAGCGACAAAACCCTTTCCACATCCATAAGAAATCTTCGATTGAAGAAGTCGATTGTACAATTGTGGCAATATCATAAGTATACATTTGTTTCAGCAGTATTACCACTGTACGATGTTGTTTGTAAACAAATCGAGTCTGGACCAGACAACCTTGTGATTGCCACCCTGCGATACGACGACAGAGCATGTGTTTATGAATCACAGCGAAAAAGTGATAATACCAGGTGTTCGCGAAACGGTGAACGCATCCTGCCCCACCGGCGGCACCTGTCATAAACACATGCAAAGTCAAGTCAATTGTTCACCTGAAACAAATCGGGAACGTATAGCTCAAAATATGAAATTGCATCGGACATCATTTTTGTCGCTGATGTATTAAATTTCGAAATTTCCTCGACATGTCTACCATAAAACCTTTTGAGAGATTTACTGAGGCCTCGAATGTTGTATCCTTGATCAAACAACTTCTGAGCCAGAGTAGTATGACGCTTTTGAAATCATGGTAAAAGAGCGTGCTCGATCGTATCTCAAAATTTGTGACATGTAAATACCAAAGGCTGGAGCTGTTGGAAAGGAAATTTGACTATATTGGGAAGTTGAAATCATCCCGTATTCCAGTTCTGTAAAGGCGTGTCAGTTTCAGGTGGTAAAACAACAGACTGGTAAAACCCGCCAACTTAAGTACGTACTCCGCATTCCTTATGATATAGAGAAGTTGCCCTGATGTTAATAGCTAAATAATTACTACTAGGTGAATACTACAAGAACATGCTGTATTTAACATGAAACCAGGTAGTATACACACGCACGCTACTTACGCACGCACACGCACACACAGACACGCGCGCACGCACACACACATCCCGAGTAAACGTATAACTTGTAATTGTGGGTGTTTTATCACGCTAATACGTACTTTGTATGACCTTCTAGTAGTAAGTGAGACTTCCTGCATCACACGTTTTCCATTTATAGCTATATTGGTGAACAATGAATGTAGTCATGTTGTTAAGTGCAAACAGTAAATTTGATTTTCATGTCTCACAATTCCATGGAACAATACAGATTTGAGGTGAAATCGAATCTTCATGTTTTGGCTTTAAAATTTGAACTATTGCGTATGGATTAGTTATAAAACATACCCAACCATCGTGTTTGTTTCCTATGGAAAACATAGTTGTTTAAAACCATACCAGTGATACAGACAAGTTCGATAACAATCAGCCTCTGGGGCAACATATGAACCACATCATGTCGTTTTCTGATCTAATCAATATAGCCAGTTAGGTTCGATTCAGTTGATAACATTTACTACTTTGCCTGAAACATACAATTTTATTCACTCATCAGATATAAACAGTTAACAAAAGGCTTGTATTAATGGAATTTCAATTTTGTTTGTAATTCAATTCAGTATAACAAGAGTAGTTTAGGGAATACTTATATTTGGGCCTTAATAGGCTGGAGAATAACGCGATGATGTAGCTTTCATATTGACCGTAACGCGTGGTAATCAGCCTTTGTTTACCCACATACAGATATAGGAAAAACGCACGACGTATGACACACACACAAGGTCGGAAAATGTCGTTTTTACATGCAACTATTATCTAGTAATCTGTTTTCCGTCAGACAACAACGACTGATCACGATCGTCGCCTTAGAAACCATAAGTGTCGAATCACAGGGAATTAAGTCAATAATGACATCCGGCATGACGTCGTTTGGAGAGACGTCATTCAACATCATGTGACGTCAACAATGCATTCTGATTGACGAACAAAACTGGATCGCGTGATAGGGTGCTTTCACTAGCATACCATCCCAAGTTTGTCTCCTGTAACATAGATACTCTGCACCAGGCGGCAAGACGTGCCTGTCGGTGAGGTTGGAGCAAAATTGAACGTATCGGATGTTGTGCTCCCTCAGTCGGTTCCGTAAGCCAGAAACGGTCCGAGAAGTCCAACTAGCAGTCTGGAATCGATTCCTTAGATGGGTCAGCCGAATGTAGTTGTCTTGCTGATGTAACGGCACGTGTGGACGACCAGCCCCAGGCAAATCTTTCGTATTTCCATATGTTGAAAACGTCTCCCACAGAAATGGGCACAAAAAATGGCTCATTTTGGGCCATTTCCGATCTCCAGAATACCCACGGCGCGGGGACGCTGATTTTCTGTGAGCTGTGGCATGACCGTTACGTTACACGCAGTTTAGGGTTGAAATTTACGTGTTTTCAACAACTTTCGGAGGCTAGAGAATTATCAACTGTTCTTCAAATTTCAATATCAGGTCTGTAAATTTCAGGTGTCAAAAAGTATGCAAAAAGTGATTAAGGTCATTGTGCACAAAGTGCAAGTGAAAGTGCAAATCGCGA